TCGAGACTCTGTAGTAACCCAGTGTAGCGGTGTCATCAGGAGAAGTAGGACGCACGCCGGACGCTCTCGGCACTTGTGTCCCAAGCGCGTCGGTCCTGGTGTATTAGTGTCAACAAACTGCTAGTGTTCCGAGAAAATAAGTCGCTTTGTGTCGCGTAAGTATGAGATGCAGTTTTAAGAATGCTTTTTTGATGTGAATTTTGAAGGAAAATGAGCAAACCAGGTGTTTGAGTCTCACTTGAATGCATAAACAGGAACAAGTTACTAATCAAAACTTGTGATAGGTTGTTGTATAAAAGAATTCCTCTTAAGACGTATAACAAATTACATTTCCCCCATGATTATGCTATGCACAAGAGTCGAAGTATTTTATATTGACCACGACACTCAAACGAGTTAGTGAAAGTAGTAGTTTTGTTTGTTTGTTTGTTTGTTGATTTGATTGTAAAATGACAAAAAAAAAAGTTCATTTTGTTGTTTGAGCAGTGCCAGCTTTTGAAATTTTAGGAAAAAAGAAAACATCAACATCAACACCATCATCAACATAAACATCATCATCACTATCACCATCATCAACATGAACATCACAGTGCATATCGTAAATCTATGCCCTTTAAAAGGCTTGGCATCACTACAATATTCCATTGACGAAGCCGCCCCAGATACTGTATGAATAAGTCATTCAAGACGAGACATTACGTACGATAACTTTTCCCACTTTGAGGTTGTTTACCGTTTCCACCGAAGTCTGTTTATGGGTTTTAGTATGAGTTTAATGAGCGAGTTGGAGAGTGACTGTAGGCGAGGATACGAGAGTAATAAAGTGGGTTTGTTTGAAGAAGAAAAATGTAGAAGAGAGAAGAAAGAAGCCTGATTCATTCCGGAAGTTCTGTGACGTCAGAAGGATTGTATTGCTGTATTAAGAGAGAAGGAGCGGCATCATTTTGATATCGTAACACCTGCGTTTGACGTCATAATTCGGATTTTTTTTCTTCCTTTTTTGCAAGACCTTTTGCAGACAATAGCAAGTTGAATCGACAACAATATTAAAGTAAGGACCATACTATTTTTATGATATCTGTTATCAGATCTTTATCAAATCAATTTTATGCCAATGTAGTCTTTTGTATACAAAACAATACGATGTTTTTTTTCTTTTTAAATTTAATTTTCGTTCTTTGATTTCCATTGTTCATAATTTTCCACGGAGATCAGTTCGCCGACTAAGATTTAGCAGAAGACCTCATGTTATAATTAATTGTTTATTTGTTCAGCACGTTCAGAGTCGCCTCGCACGCGGAACTTGACATGAAACCTCGCCTCTTCCCGGAAAATTTCCCCAACATTCCGGACGCAGAAGCGCGGCCGTCGCGCGACGCCCAGCGGAGGGAAGGCGGCGCTCGAGGGTGTCTTGGTCAGTGTTCGGGCGATCTCTTCCTTCTACTACACGCACGTGTGTGTGTGTGTGTGTGTGTGTGTGTGTGTGTGTGTGTGTGTGTGTGTGTGTGTGTGTGTGTGTGTGTGTGTGTGTGTGTGTGTATTTATATTGTACATGCAAATATATGTGCGTGTATGTATGTTTATGTGTGTTTCTATTATATATGTATATATACACATGCGCATGCGCGCGCACACTTACTAAAATCTATAAATGTAAATGTGTATATACATATGCACACATGCATAAACACACACACAGTGTGTATATATTTATATATATACATATATATTTATATTATATATATACATATATATTTATATTATATATATATACATATATATTTATATTATATATATACATATATGGATATATAATATATACATGCATATATATGTGTATATATATATGTGTGTGTATATGTATATAAACATATACACACATATATACATATATACATGTACACACACACACACACACACACACACACACACACACACACACACACACACACACACACACACACACACACACATACGCACACACACACACACACGCACACACACACACACACACACACACACACACACACACACACACACACACACACACTGTATTACCCACAGGTAATACAGTGAAGATATCCTTACAGCAATCTTGCACGATGACCCCCCCCCCCACACTTATGTAACAAGCACAATCTTGGAGATAAGGAAAAAAAGCGTTACGTAAGGACACGCCCTTATCTTCAGAGCGAAAGTCTTGGTCAGAGGGAATTTGAGTAAATACCGGACACCTGTTATCGGGTGGCAAGCAGTCAGCGGATGGTACTGTCTCTGAGCTTAGAGATAACGCCTGCAGATAAAGAAGCAGGTGTTGAGTCTAGCGAAGTTATCTTGACGCTAGGAGAAAGAAAGGGGTGGGGGAGGGGGGTGATAGGACAGTGTAGGGCACTGAACACCGATCTCAGGTCCCGACTATGCTCGCGAATAAGCGCGTTTCTCCAGAGTATTTATTTTTATATTTCTTATGTATTTTTTTGTATTTGTTATTATCATTATTTTTTATTTATTTATTTATTTATTTATTTTTTATTTTTTAATTTTTTTAGAAAGCGGCATCTTTTCTCTGTCATTCTCTATTTTCAGCTGTCTATCGGGGGGGGGGGGGGTAATAAGGAATGTAGGAGGGGAAGGGGTAGAAGAAAGAGGGGAGAGGGAGAGAGGGAGGGGAAAGGCTAGAGGAAAGCGAGGAGAAGGAGAGAGAGAGGTGGGGAAGGGGACTTAGGGGAGATGAGGAAAGTGAAACAAGACGAAACGGAGGAGACGTAAAGAGAAAAAAGGAATGAATGAGGGGAGAGGGAGAGGGAAGGAAGAGCGAGTTCAGAGAAAAGGGGGAATGAGAGAGGGAAGGAAGGAGGAGGAGCGAATTTAAGGAAGTGACTTTAAGGGAGATTTGAGGAGTAAGAGGGAGAGGCAAAGCGGAAAAGGGAAAGGTAGAAGCAGTGGTAAGAAAAAGGGAGAGGGAAAGCAATGATAATGATGAAAACAACAATAATGATAAGGATGGTGATAGTGATAACACTAATATTAACAATGATTATAATGATAATGATACTACTACTATTACTACTACGAATGATAATAAGATGATTATGATGATGATCACCAATAATGATGCTGATAATGATAATAATAATTATAATAATGAGGATAGATAACGATACTAATGAAGATGATAATATTGAAAATAGTAATGTTAATGATAATAATGATAATAATAACTACTATAATCATAATAATGAATAATAATGATAATGATAACGATGATAATCATAATAATGAATAATAATGATAGTCATGATAATGATAGTAATAATGATAATGAGAATTAATGATGATAAAAGTAATAATGATAATAATAATTCTTCTTTGCCTTTCGGCGTGCTCCCTTGTTAGGGGTCGCCACAGCGCGTTAACTCCCTCAACCTCCTATTTGTGGTGTCTTCTACCACTCCCAACAGTAGCGTAGTTTCCGTAGTAGACCTATTGTGCCATAGCTAAGTCCGATATGCGAAGCTGAGCCTCGCCCGGGCTATGGGGGAGCCCGGCCTGTGCCGACTAATGTCGACTCGCTAATGTGTGTCAGCAGGTGCTGACTCGGCAGAGCTTAGTCCTTACCCACCGTGGTGCCCAGCCACAGCAGTAACCTCCAGGCGACAATTGCAACTTCTCGCGCCTGGGCGGGGCGCGAACCACCGACCCCTCGGATGAGAGGCCGACACGTTACCACTGTACTAGCCTGGAGGCTAAACCATAGCTACAGTGGCGGTCGTTTTTATCCTGGGCCCCGACCGATCCAGTATGGTTTGGGGGTTTCGCGCATCATGATTTGGCATGGTTTTACGCCGCTTGCCAGCTGTCGCAACCCTCTGCATTCATCCGGGCTTGGGACCGGCACCAAATGATAGTGGAATCTATCACCCAGTGGCTGCATTAATAATGATAATAATAATAATGATGATTATTATTGTTATTATTATTATAATAATGTACTTCACCACCACCATCATCATCAGAAAGAGCTTTAGAGAGATCTGAAATTCTTGGATTTTGAAAGTTATTATTCTAGCAATGTGAGTGTGTGAAAAGGGCTGCGTGTGCATTTGTGTGTGTGCGTGTGTGAGAGAGAAAGAGAGAGGGAGAGAGAGAGATAGAGAGAAAATGCATGTATCAGAATCATCATATACTAATGTATAAACAAAATAATGATTGACTTCTCCTTCTTCACATCGAACTGCAAAACAGAGTAATTCACCGATTAAAGAAAAAAAAGCAAAAAAGCAAATAATTATTATATTGCGTCGAAGGTGTTTAAGGATTGTGTAGTCACGCCCGAACCCGATATCAAAAACCGTTACAAGAAATTAGTGTAATCGGATATGGATTTTTTCTTTCGGATTTATAAGCGGGTCGTGGTGTTGAGGGTAACGCTGTACGATTTATACATACAAACATATGTTTGTATATATATATGTATAAATATATGTATATACATATATATGCATTTTTTTAGGGGGGGGGCAGAGAGCAAGATCTGTGAATATGTACGAAACATGCAATGCACACATATAGACTCAAAGACAGACACACACACACTCATTAAACTCTTAATGTTCCAAAGAATCGCGGTGCACGTGAAGTCAGCGGGGACCATCATTGGTCAGCTGGTGATTTCGGAGTCCTACTGCAGGTTGTAATGGGGCAAACCGGTCTAAGACCATTGCAAGCTTCTTTTCCTGGACTTGCAGTTGCTGGGCGAACTGTTGCTACGTCATCGGCATCTGGAAAGAGGGAGAGGAGAAAGAGCAAGAGAGAGAAAGAGCGAGAGAGAGAAAGAGAGAAGGAAAGAGAGAGAGAGAGAGAAAGAGAGAGAGAGAGAGAGAAAGAGAGAGAGAGAGAGAGAGAGAGAGAGAAAGAGAGAGAGAGAGAGAGTTGAGACGAAGTGCCCCGGGCTTCCCGCCCCATGCGTCATAACATCCCGGCAACCCTTTTGTCCGAACTGATGCCAAGGGAATACCTCCTTAATGAACCGAAGAACGGATGTTTTTATGCCCGCTTCCTGTCACGTTGCTAAAGGTGTCAATTACTTGGTGATCAAAGGGACGAATCGACCTTAAAAAGCCGTAGGAAGAAAACTACTCATTTCTACAATCGGAAGTGTCTTTACTGCACAGTCCTATCGGTAATCTCGGCAGCTTTCAGTGGTCCGCGCCGTCCTCGAGAAAGCTGTAGGTAGGTATAAGTGGGCAGTCGGGTGTGTATTCTAAAATAACTAATTGTCGCCATGTTCTCTGTTGTACATCGAGAATCTTCTTTCGGTGGCGACAGGAGTGACTGGCATAAGAATGAGGAGAGCAGCCTGGGAAATATTTCCCACAGAGTGACTTTACCTTTTTGCACTGTACTTGTTCACGATTGGAGTCTTGTAGGTCATTGTGCTGTTCACGTATTCACCTGAGGATGGAGTCTTGGGCGTTGCTTTATCATTCGTAATTTCCATCTTGACTAGTTAAGTTTGTACAGTACCCTTATATTTTTTCCCACTGATTTTTTGGTGGTTCTCGTTAAGACTGCTTATACAAACAAAAGGAGTTCAGAAAGGCTAATCTAAAGTGCGTTTAATTGATTACTATTATTGTTGTTGCAATTATTATTATCATTGTTATTGATGTTATTACTGTTATTTTATTATCATCATAATCATCGTCTGGCAGGTGTGACTCCAACTGTGAATCCTCAGCCAGACCTGCTGGACCGCCGTGTGTCAGGCTCTCCAAGCGCAGCAATGCACCTCGCTCTGTGGTGGTTGTGCGCAGCGTGTGTGTGCGCTGTGACTGCAACCACCACGCCTCCCCCTCAGCTTCCTGCGCCGAGCCCCGCCAACTTGACCCTCCGCAAGTGCCTCTGCGGTGCCGGGCAGGCGTGGGACGGCGCACAGTGCGTAGACGCGGAAGAGACCCCCGTGGCCGTGATGGACCAGAACTTGAGGGAATTCATATTAGACAGCCGTGACTTCGGCCAGGTGATCACGGAGCAGATCACGTGCCCAGACCTGCAGGAGCCGGTGGTGTTGCAGATCGAGGAAAACGTCGTAATCGGGAGCGACTGGACATACTGGAAGGACCAACAGTTGGTGTTTCATGAGTTCTGCATTGAGCACACACCCAAACTGGAGGTCAGAGTATGCCTTCGTCCGCCAACCATCCCTCGCTGCTGCCTGCCGGGACACGTGCTCGAGAAGGATGGCTCATGCACGCCGCGCGATGCGATCGAGTTCAAGCCCCCCGTGAAACTGCGGTTATCGAGACAGCCGGTGCATTTCCCTGACACAAACGCCGCTGATACTGTTGAGGAGGTGACTTGCCAGGGCCTCGCTGTGCCTCACCGCGTAGACCTCTCTGGCAGCAGCGACACCCTGCTGTACAGTGTCAGCATTGCACCGCTGGAGTGGCTCCCGCCCTCGGAGTACGCCAGGACGTCGGAGGTGGCCATGTCATACTGCGTCGGCGTAGAGGCCGGGAGCTCCATTAGCGACACGAAGTACGTGGCTGTTGTGTGCTACACGGACCCGGCGAAGGCCCACCGCTTCATCTGTGCCAACGGAACCTGCGTCAGGAAATGCTGTGCTGCCGACAAGATCTTGACTCCTTCTGGTTGTCGCAAAGCAGCGCCTCCCGAGGAAATATGGGAACCAAGTTTACACTTCAATAAAAGCAGGACTCCGAAGGAAGACATCAACGACGACCTGATCGTGGTGAGCGGTCTGCCGTTATGCAAGGAGTTCTTCACCCTCAAGCTGGAGGACGAAAACGACACGCACTTCCTGCTGGGGAACGGCAGCCTCCACGTGCCCGCGCTTAGGACATTCCACGCCGACAAGTATTGCCTTGATTTGAATCAGACCAACACTGGGAAGGAGCTGATCGCCTTTCTGTGTTTGCTGTCTCAGAAAAAAGAGTGCAAGTGGAAGGTCGTCCTCATCCTGGTGCTTCAGTGCATCTCCTGCGTGTTCCTCTTCGCCACCCTGGTCGTGTACGTCAGCGTCGCGGAGCTAAGGGACAGAACCAACGGCCGCTGCCTCATCTCCATGGTGGCCGCCATGCTCGCTGCTTACGTCAGCTTCGTGGTCAATCAGAAGTCACGTGACGTTTCTGACGGCGAGTGCCTCACCATGGGTACGTCTCGGGAGGAGGGGCACCGCGCACCCACCTGCCTGTGTACCTGCGGCGCTTCTTCCATGCCTGCCCTGCCTCCCATCCGACAAAACCGCTTGCTTGCCTTCCCCTCGACTTCCCCTCCGACCTGCCTGTCTACCCGCCCCCTCACCCCCCGCCCCGTCTGCCTACCCCTTCCCCCCTCGACCCGACTCCCTCCTCTGACAATATTAAGACAAGAACTTTGGGGCTGTAGCTGTGTTGTAGATTTATAGATTTATTGTAGCTTTATTTCAGTTGTATTATAGCTTTATGGTAGTTACTTCATTTTCATCAGCTGAATTGAAGTATAAGTTCTATAAGCGCGCGCGCACACACACACACACACACACACACACACACACACACACACACACACACACACACACACACACACATTAGTACTGAGAGGCCCTTAGGCAACTCTGCACCTCCCCCCCTGTCTATTTATTTACCTCTATTGCTGCTTTCACTTATGTGCAAGCTTAGAAATAAAGTGCTATTATTAATTATTAACTGATTTATTTGCTTATTTTTCATTAATTGATTTATTATTGTCACTTTATTGCCTTACTTATTACTTTTATTTTCTTGTTTCTTATATGTGTGTATGTGTGTGTGTATGTGTGTGTGTGTGTGTGTGTGCATGCACTTATTTTTACTCTTTATCTCTCTCTCATTATTTCTTATCTTTGTCTATTTCCCCCCCCTCTGATGAATACAACTGTAGTAAAATCCTTATATATAATTTATTAAGAAAATATTACGATATATATATTTCTAATCAAAAAAATATCTTTTTCTTTCAGGATTCATGGTCCATGTCTGCTCCCTGGCCACTTTCTTCTGGCTTAATGTCATGTGTTTTGACATGTGGTCAACGTTGAGGTGAGGTTCTCTCTTTTTTTCTCTTTCTTTTTCTTTTCTTTCCTTTTTTCTTTTTTTTTCCTTTTTTCTTTTTTTTCGTCTCTTTTTTCCCTTTTCTTTTTTCTTCTCTTTTTTCTTTTTTTTTTCTTCTCTCTTTTTTCCTTTTTTCTTTTTTTTCGTCTCTTTTTTCCCTTTTCTTTTTTCTTCTCTTTTTGTCTTTTTTTTTTCTTCTCTTTTTTTTCTTTTTTTTTCTTTTCATTTTGAGAGGAGGAGAGTGGGAAGGGGGTGAATGTCTCCAAATAATGGTCTATCCTTTTTTTTATTACTATGATTTATTATCCTTATTTAATATGGGGAAGGAAAGAAAATGGGGGGATGGAAAGAGAGAGAGAGAGAAAGAAAGAGGAAGAGAGAGAGAGAGAAAGAGAGAGGAAGAGAGAGAGGAAGAGAGAGAGAGAGAAAGAAAGAGGAAGAGAGAAAGAGGAAGAGAAAGAGAAAGAATGAAAGAGGAAGAGAAAGAGAAAGAGAGAAAGAGGAAGAGACAGAGAGAAAGAGGAAGAGACACAGAGAAAGAGGAAAAGGCAGAGAGAAAGAGGAAGAGAAAGAGGGAAAGAGAAAGAGAGAGAGAGAGAGAGAGAGAGGTAAGTGCTTCAAAATCTGTTGAATTTAAGATATGCTGTTAAAGATATTGGAGGGGGGGGGGGCGGGGAGAGAGGGGGGTACCGTTTGTTATAACTGTACTTCATTATTTTGTGAATATTGTTATTATTGTTGTTGCTGCAGTTTTTGTTATTGTCATTACCATTGTTACCATTTATTATTATTATTATTATTATTTATTTAAAGTTATTTTTATTATTGATGTTATTTATTGTTATTATTATTGTTCCTATTAATTGTTATTATTAATTGTTATTATTAATTGTTATTATTATTGTTATTATTAATTGTTATTATTAATTATTTTTTTTTTTTATTAATACCCGTATTCTCAACACCTGTTCTCATCACGTGTTCTCCCCCCTCCCACCCCTCCCCATCCCCGTCCCTCAGGTCATCGCGGCAGAAGCACCAGAGTGTGAAGGTCTTCGTCTTCTACAGCATCTACGCCTGGGGCTGCCCTCTCCTCGTCGGCTTCGTGGCCCTCACTCTGGAACTCGTGCAACCTCCTGACGTCATCAGGCCAAATTTTAAGGATTACTGTTTCTTTTATGGTGCGTTGGCTGAAGGTTTTGTTGTGTGTGTAGGTGGGTGGGTGGGTGGGTGGATGTGTAGGTGGGTGGGTTGGTGGGTGGATGTGTAGGTGGATGTGTAGGTGGGTGGGTTGGTGGGTGGATGTGTAGGTGGGTGGGTTGGTGGGTGGATGTGTAGGTGGGTGGGATGGTGGGTGGATGTGTAGGTGGATGTGTAGGTGGGTGGGTTGGTGGGTGGATGTGTAGGTGGGTGGGATGGTGGGTGGATGTGTGTGTATATGAGATCCATAAGAACATCTGCCGCTGACCTGGACCCAGGTGGCCAAGGGAAATATGACCAGTGGTCCTCAGGCCCTGCTGACCTGACCCTCAGGCTGTAGAGAGAGGTCAGCTTGGAGGCCTGGAAGCCGCCGCGGGCGAACACGCCCCTGGGCAAGGCAAAGGGAAAAATGACCAGTGTCCCAGGCGGCCACGCCCACATGAAGGTTGGGCATTGGCAGTTTCTTTAGCCACACCTCTGTAGCTCCGCCCCTGGCTTCCAGTCACCGCTACTTATTTTCCAAGGATGACCCTGTCAACCCAGAGTGTACTGCGCCGCGGTCGAGGTCACGATCTGATCCGCGGCCAGGTTGCCGTTGGCAGGGCTTGCCGTCTGACCTAGGCGCCCTCGCCTTAACCCAAGCATTGTCATCGTTGTGTTAACATCTCGTGTGGATGTGTGTGTAGGTGGGTGGATGTGTGTGTAGG